ACAAATTTCCAACAATAGTAGATATCAGTGATTAAGGTATGGTATAAAAAAAATTTCTTGCCTTTAGTTGAATGTTCTACATGTAAATAATAAAACTTCGAACATTAGTTGCCAGCGCCATGAGCGTCTTGAAGGATACCTCGACCGTAAATGAAGGTTGACCAATGTCACTCTTCATTGGACTATAATGTAAACTCGATATTCATTCCCATTTTTCTAACCAGAGGATGCCAACCTTCTCGTATTAATAATTGATACAAATCCAATTGTATGGAAGAAGTCAAGCTTTCCCTTGAAAGAGGCTCTACGTCACATTTTGGTATTCATCAACGCTCATTTGGCTCTAAAACACGATAACGACGTTGCAATAATTGCTAGTCATGTTGGTGTCAGGTATGAATAACTAAAAATAGTAGATATAAGTCTGTAACATCAATTCATTGTTTGACATTCTTCTCAATGGCTTTTAACTGATGGAACTATAGCAAATTCTTATATCCAATACCGACACATGAAAATTCGGATAAAACGATCTTTCCTAATATGTATCAAAAATTTCGAGTTATTGATGAAAAAGTAATAGCCAATATGAGTGCATTATTTGAAGATGTCGATACACCAAATAATTATCCAGATAAAGGTTTGGCAAATTTATATAATTCAGAATGTTATAATTAAAATAATTTCTAAGCCTTTTATCCACGAAACAATCTATACTTCAACAGCAAGTTCTATGGTTGCGGGAGCATTATCTATGGCATTATGTTGTATCCTATATTGTTTGATTTTCTAGTTTTAGTTTAACATTTCTTTCAGTTTATTTTGATATTCCTTATCCTTGACCATCGTGAATAGACATCAATCGTATTACAAAAGCTGATGAAATCGGTCATGTAAAATCTCGTATATTGATCATATCAGTATCCCCGGATTCTCCTTATCAGTACATATCTATAATGAATTGTATTTTTTCCGCACAAAAATTGGTGAGTCTTTTATCACAGTATCAGAAATTTTTATCAAATTTGAATATCGATAAATAAATTTCTTCGTTTCCGTTTGGTTACATTCATTTGTTTACTATCGTTGACAAAAAAATTTTTTTTTAAATGATTAGTGTATTCCCATTGATGTCTGTAAAGTCTATGGAGGTGATACTCCGGTATTTTTGCAACAAGCATCGCATATAACTGGTGGAAAGTATCTGAAGCTTGATATGCCCCAAGGATTATTACAATTCCTAATGGTATATTTAATTTAATTCCATTGGTAATAAATGCAGCCTATTATATAATTATTCATATGTAATGTATTATTGTTTACCTTAGATTGCATTTTTACCTGATCGATACAATAAAAAATACCTTTGCCTCCCAGGGGAGGAGCGTGTGGATTTTGGAGCGGCCTGTTTCTGCCATAAAAAGATTATCGATGTTGGATATGTATGCTCAGTTTGTTTGTCAAGTATCCTTAATTTAATTTGTTCCATGTTTGGCGTGTACAAAACATGATGATATTTTCCTTAATCATTTGTAATGTATTAAAAGTATTCTGTAAACCGTTAAGTGAATGCTCAACGTGCAGGTATTTTTCTTAATTTATTTTACTCGCAAATTTTAGTTATTTAAGATATTTAAATGTACTATTTTTTAACTTTTTCAAGGACTAAACTGACGTTGACATCAGTCAAACAAAATGGGAAGATCGCTTAAGATTTTGCATAATATTACTTAGACATTCTATTTTATATTTCCTTAACTTGGATTTATAAATATATGTTTATTCTGCTATGCTATTTATATTATTCATTTTTTACTGGTTTATTATGAATTTGAAATTTGAAATAATAAATGAATATATAATCGAGCATTATACCTACAAATTGGTAGTTGATGTAGTCTATGTAATCAATTTAAGAATGTTATAGCAAAAACAATAATGTTTCATTATCATTTGTTAATGCGTTATCGCTGTCGAATCATATAAAGCAAAAATTATCAAAATACGTAAAAATGTGATTCGTGAACATCTTACTACCCTTCCTTAAGGATTAAAATTGCAAGGATTATTAAACAAGGTTATTCCACCATCCATCTCCCTCATATCCCTCATCAACAAATAGTTGTAGTACAAGTTATAATCACTTGTTAAATAACATAAAATTTTATTAAATAAAATTACTTTTTGCTTACGAAACTAATTTAATTCTAATTATTACAAAAGACCAGCTTTACGTGTAATGACTTTCACGCTTTTTTTTTTTTTTGTTTTTTTTTTTTTTTTTACTGTATTTAAGAAATTATTCGTACCTGTATTTTACAGAAAAATCATAAAAAATAAATAATACATAAAACAGCAATATTCGAAAAAAAAAAAGAACTAAGTACTTACTTAAGCCTTAAAATTTGTCGTGCTTAATACTAATCTAAAACATGAAAAATGAGTTTTTTATGAAAATAAAAGAAATTAAAGTTTGTTACAATTAAATAGATGTTTTATAAAAATTCTAATAATACAAATGCCAATAATACATAAACCAGTTTGGTCCTTTTTATTCTCAATATTTATTTATTTTTTTTTAATATTGTCCTTGCAGACTTGTTCAATATTTTCTTTTAATGTTGTCCATATTGTCCATATTGTCCATATTGTCCACTTTGTAAACTTGCCCTTCCTATTACAATGGCTTCAGCATAACTAGGTAATTGTTCATCATCAGGATCACTTGGTCTATAAGTTACAAAGTCGTCACTTTGATCAATTGACCCGTCAAAATTATCCCTTCTACTTCTTCTTAGTATAACTTCATCATCATGTATTTGAGATACTTCATTCCTTTCAGATTTACTTCTCTCTCCTTTTCTAAACCAACATAAAATTACAACGCCTAAAATCGTTATTAGCCCAACTGAACACAAAACAGACGCTGCGAGTATAATGGCTTGTGGTGAGCTTGCATTTAAATCTGCTGCATTAGAAGTTGTGGGTGTTGGTATTACCTTATCTGTAACGGTCATAGTTATATATGGAGTGATTATTCCTGGAGGTGTCGAGATCACTGCTATTGGTATTGGTCCTTTATCCGTCTGTGAGGCCTGTAAAGTTGGTAAAAGTTGTATAACTGGTGGAGTTGGTTGTGTGGCTTCCTGTGAATAGGTTGGAACGGAAGAGGCTCTTATGAAAGAGGTTCCTACGGAAGAGGTCCCTATAGAAGATGTAGTTTCTATTTCCTGACGCTTGATTACTTTTCTTTGTATCATTATCTATGTCTCGAATGAATATTTTTTAAAATCTTCGGTTCAATTTTGATTGCAAAAATCTACTTTTAAAAAGGGGTTGAATTTGGATATAATTAACGTTAATTCCACTCTGGTTGTATTGTACAACAAAGATCGTAAAGTTAATTAGTTGCTATTTTTAATTATCAAACAAATATTACAGGTATTACTGGGATTACAAGTAGATCATCTTTTTCAAAACGAATTTAATGTGGCACCTTTAAATTTTTTTTATTTGTTATATAAAATAAAACATATATAATTAACTATATATATATATATATTGAATGAGATTTATTATTCAAAAAAGTATACCTCAAAGAAAATCTTTGGTTTTAGATTTTATTTTACAATTTATAAATTTACTGGCTTTAAAGAATTTAAATCAATTAATCCTTTAGTATGTTAAAACTCGTGATTCGCAATTAATTTTTAACTTCAATATTTTTTAAATAGTAATTCCAGCCAGCCGATAGGATGCCATGACCAGTTATATTATTTCAATAAAGTTAAGATTAGAGTTAGTTCAGTGTTAGCGTTAAGGTGAGGGCAATATTTAAGGTAAAATCGATTCCCCCGCTTAAAACATTTGATGTATCACGTGATAAAGAAGTGCGGAATATTTCCCGTACTAATTGCAATGTCTTAGGTTTACAGCCGGTTTCAAAATGTGTGAACAACGATCGTAAATTTAGATTAAACTTCGGGTCTTGAAAACTCCGGAAATCTGGGAAATATTGTGAATTCCCCGTGAATGCGACCGTTCACACCTTTTTGAAATCAGCTGTAAACTCAATAGGGAAAAAGCCTCCGGCCGTTAGTAGCAAAACGGAAAATAACTATTTCCCGTGGAGCGGAAAATAAGTATACAAAATTGTCGAATAACGGTAATTTGGCAAATGAGCACGTGCCGCTTTGCGGCACGTGTAGCCAATCATTTGTCAAAT